TCAAGCTTCGCCTGAAGTCCCAGTTGTTGCTGCAGAGTTACATGGCTCACAGAAAATGGAAGGTAAATAGACAAACTCTGGCAAATCTACTTCCAGAGGGAAAATCAGCTCAACACAGGCAGAGCCATTCCCTGCTTTGTTTTTTGTATAGTGGCTCGCTGCTGTCCACAGGCTTCTTTCTTGAAGTTTAACCATGCCAAGTGCAAGGTCCTACACCTGGGTCAGAGCAATCCCAGGCACAGAAACACGCTGGGCAGGGGAGAGATTCAGAACAGCCCTGTAGAGGACTTGGGGGTGCTGGTCAATGAGAAAATGAACATGAGCCAGCTTCAGTGCGCGCTTGCAGCCCAGAAAGCCAACTGCATCCTGGGCTGCATCAAAAGGAGTGTGACCAGCAGGTTGAAGGAGGTGATCCTGCCCCTCTATTCTGCTCTCGTGAGACCTCACCTGGAGCATTGTGTGCAGTTCTGGTGTCCTCAACATAAAAAGGACATGGATCTGTTGGAACAAGTCCAGAGGAGGGCCATGAGGATGATCAGGGGACTGGAGCACCTCCCGTATGAAGATCGGCTGAGAAAGTTGGGGCTGTTCAGCCTGGAGAAGAGAAGGCTGCGTGGAGACCTCACAGCAGCCTTCCAGTATCTGAAGGGGGCATATAGGGATGCTGGGGAGGGACTCTTCATTAGGGACTGCAGTGATAGGACAAGGGGTAACGGGTTCAAACTGAAACAGGGGAAGTTTAGATTGAATATAAGGAAGAAATTCTTTCCTGTTAGGGTGGTGAGGCACTGGAATGGGTTGCCCAGGGAGGTTGTGAATGCTTCATCCCTGGCGGTGTTCAAGGCCAGGTTGGACGAGGCCTTGGGTGATAAGGTTTAGTATGAGGTGTCCCTGCCTATGGCAGGGGGTTTGGAACTTGATGATCTTAAGGTCCTTTCCAACCCTAACTATTCTAGGATTCTTGTAAATATGAGTTTGGAAAGTGTATTTTTACTGGTAAACTAAGGATTTTTCTCCTGCACAATTATACTGATTCTAGTTTTAGCAAGTTTGGTTTCAATTTTTGCTCCTTCTGATCGGTGTTTAAAAGTTTTACACCTTTTTTTCTTTACAAGTTCAGAGACTTCAGATACTACTTAGCTTTAAATGTTCTTCACTTGATATTGGAGACTTTTTTTTCCATTGACAACAGTTCCATTGTTCTGTTGTCACTATGGAGTAGGGACACAACATAAGGCAGTTTTGTCTCTTGTTGCAGCTAGCAGAAGTGTGGAAGAGAGAAAAAGTTAGGCTTAAACCCATTCAGAGAACTCTCAGGACCTGTCTGATCACCTCATGCTCCTTCAGAACTAAATGTTATGAGGAACTGATAGATAAGAATTTTTACTGGAGTCTCTGTTGGACTGTAAGTAATGGATCCTGAAAGGTGAATACAAGTGATCTTTCTTGGTACAAAGAAGCCTGAGGAAAACTCAGTGAGGGCCATTTCCTTTTCTTTTGTCACTGGAAAGCTGCAGTTCCTTGCCAAGTAGCTAAACCAGAGGGTTACACATTTTCCATTCCTGCAGCCCAGCCATTTGGTTGCAGACTTCTGCACTTGTATTTTAAAAAATACATAAAGACATATCACTATGCAATTTGTAATAATGGTGCAGAAGCTGCCATCAATCTTGTTCTGCAGTGGTCATCTCCCAGTACAAAGCTGTTCTGCACTGCAATCCACACAAGGTGTGTATCACTAGTGGTAAATCCATTTATCAGGGAGAAAAATCTGTCAGCTACAGAAAAGGTCCTTTACCTCAGCTGTACTTACGTTTGTACTGTTGTGTTCTGTTCACAGAAACATTTTTATGTAGTGGCTGCTGCTAACAGGCTGAAGAGATTTCAAACTATGTCTGTCAAGCTTGCATAAGCTTGTGTGAAGCATCTGCTACTCTCAGAGCCATGGAAGACATGATGTGACATCATGGAAGAACTCAGAATCTTCAGTAATTTCTACACCTTTGTTTTCTAATAAAAGGTTTCTGTCTGTCCTCAAATATTGTGTGTGTACTGCAGAGCTTCCAGAAGTGCCTCGAGGAAGAAGTACTAGAATTATTTCTAAAAGCAGAAGTTACCTTGTTTTGTTTTTACAAGTTTTTCGTTGTTGTACGTAGTAATGGAAAAACATGGCTGTTACTGGGGCTGACTTCTTGCTGAAGGCTTTGATTCTGCAGAATGTTGTTGGGATGTTCATCCCATACAACATCTTGTCAGTCTTCTGTTTCTCACAGTGAACATGGGATCTCTGATGACTTTCTTCATGACTGAAGAGCACTGCCACAACAGTGGCACAATTTTTCCTCTGGTGTTTGTTACGTAGAACAGAAGACACCAACTATCCTTTTCTTCTGTAATTTTTTTCAAAAATGTTATTTTTTCCCCAAAACATGATGATGATTCAGTGCAGCTACACAGAGTTGAATGGTTTGGGTTTGTTGGCTTTTTTTATTCTACTCTCTTTAAAAAGAAACAATTGTATCCTGTAACTCCATAGTTAGGAAATAGGAGGAATCCTGGGTTAAAGCAACTTAAGTCAGTTGGCTGTTCCTTATGGTGGGTTCAGTTGAGCTGAATGGATTGAACTTTTGGAAGGAGATGGGTGAAACTTCCACAGATCAAAATCACCTAATGACCCCTGCATCTATGCAAAAAGATCTCATGTTGTCCAGAAAAGAAGAGACTCCAGATATCCTTTACATGTGTTTAAACTTGTAAGTGGCTTCAACTGCAGCCATTAGTTCTGTAAGTTTTAGTTTGGGGATTTTATTTTCCTTTCAGACAATTTTAATGAAGTCTGAGAGGTTGATACAGTTTGATGTGTAAAACAGGTTTTATTGCTATTTAGTGCCAGGGACATGGTGTGCTGCTGGAATCTGCCTTCAGCCCAGTTAGGAGGTTGAAGCCGTTTCCCCTCCCACTTTGCGCCTCAACATTAAATGTTTTCTTCACAATACTAACTACTTTTGTATTTTAAACTTTTTCCTGATGCATAAAGAGTCTCTCAGCTAAAAGTATAACATTATTTATTAAGCCTCTGGTTTCCCTTATTCCTGTTCTAGATTCTGCAAAACACTGTGTGAGCTGGATGGACTCCCTATCAAAATAAGAAACTATAGCACTAAAACCAGCTTTCCAGCAAAGGCATCAAACCGCTGTAAAGTTCCCTTTAATTTTACGGACTTGCATGCCCCTTGAATTAGCAAAAGTACTGGTTGCTAATGAAGAGGTTTTAAAACTGACTTACCCTACTCTAGTTATTTTTTCTGCTCTAGTGCTTCTCACTTTGCAAAGTCCTGAATGCTGGACTTCAGCATTTCCAGAATTGAGACAGATCATTATTAAAATCAAGTGTAATAATCTTGACAGTGTATCACCTTCTGTGAAGGCCCACTTTTGTCCATGTTTTCCTCCCACAGTGGTTCTGCATGCTAAATGTGATTGTATTAATTGGTTTGTATATTTCTGAATTAATACTCATAAATGTCATTAAGGTGGAACAAGCCTATTCCTCAGTTTTGGTTTAATCTCTCCCACCAAGAAAAGCCCAAAACATCTCTGAAAAGATCTTAATGGCGGAATGCTACTGGTAGTATGCTGGGTTTTCTCCCATCCTGAGGACCCTCTGCCACATATTACATCAGCCTTTCAACACCAGACATTTTGCTACAGCTTTTACTCAGTGTGGGTTAATTATCCAATATTTTCTCTGCACATCAAGCATTAGTTTGGAGTCCATTCCAGTAACAGTTATTGTTACATTTCATAATTCTTCTCTGGAATGAAATTAGCTCTTGCTAGTTAAAGTTGGCTTCAAGTGATCTCCTTTTTCATGTATTAGGAAAAGTGAAAGGAGAATGGGACATTTTAATTTTCCAATTACTGTGTGCTTCTTCCTGCCTTTCTAAGAGAGTAACACACAGATGCTCTTTGCATCTTGTATGTATTTCTTCTCCATTTTCTACGCTTTGCAGTCTTGTATGTATTTCTTCTTCATTTTCTACAAAACAAAAGAGCATCTGGCCAGCAGGATTACTATTTTGTTTCTAATAGAAATCCCGTTAGATTTGGCAGCCATCCCATGGTTCTGCAGTACAGGGGAACCCACCTCTGCAGCCTTATAGGACGTTTCACCACATCCTATGCATTTTGGTTTGGGGTCTACAAAAAGCTAAAAGGACAAACAACAGGTGACCTGTGAGTCACTGGAACAGTAACTGTGACAAAAAAGCTAGCCCATACACTATATCTAAAGCAGTTAATGGCATCAGCTACTGCAATCCTGCTGTGGTGCCACCCAGGTAAGCAGGAGGATGCACAGCAGCGAGGCCTTTGGCAAGCCATTAAAATACTGCTAAGAAGCTCAGGTTGGGCAGCGTTTCAAATCTAAATGCTCACACACAGAATCATAGAATAGTTAGGGTTGGAAAGGACCTTAAGATCATCAAGTTCCAATGCCCCTGCCATGGGCAGGGACACCTCGCTCTAAACCATATCACCCAAGGCCTTGTCCAACCTGGCCTTGAACACTGCCAGGGATGGAGCATTCACAGCCTCCCTGGACAACCTATTCCAGTGCCTCACCACCCTAACAGGAAAGAATTTCCTCCTTGTATCCAGTCTAAAAGATTGAGGTAATTTATCTTTTTTCTTACGCATACTTTGGTTTTCTGGATTGTTTTGAACAACAGAGCAAGAGAAATGGGCTGAAGACTGATTCGTTTCATTACAGTTATGCCAGCCCTGCTGGTGTAACTGTACTGCTAAAAGTAATGCTTTTCCTTCAAAACTGTATTTTGAGTAGCTGGGATGAATGTGTAAGACCACAGAAGTTGCCTCTAAGGACTACAGCGCAGGGCACTTGCCTGTTCTCTTAAGTTTATGACTGCTAGATGCGAAAACCTGTACTGCCCAGACAAGATACTTGTCCCCTGGACATCTGCTGCTTTGAAGTGAAGACATCACCTGTTTGTGTTTCATTTTGCATTCTAAGAGGTTTATACATGACAAGTGCCAAGAACCTTTTCTTTCTACTGTTTTTATTGTTTCTTGGAATATCTGGGACCCCTTACAACCACAAGAGACTTCAGTTCCGTATTGGTCATGAAAAATAAATCAAATTCAGTGACAAAACAATGTTTCTTCAACAGTACAAAATATAATAAAAATTCATCAGTCTTAATTTCTCTACTAACAAGGCACTTAGTCCCCTCCCTCTTTTTTTTTCCACTACTTCCAGGCAGGGGCCCAGGTGCATATAACTTAGAACTTACAGCATTAAAATGTTACCTGCTTTTTGCAGTGAAAGAATGAGGCTGTCCTACCACACAATGCCATAGCTGCTCAGGTAGGAGCCTGGCGAGTAGTCAGACATGTCCCTTGTAAGATTGCCTCAACTGTTGTGTCATTTACTAAAAATAACATTCTTTAAAATTATCTAATAAGTAAGCTGGCTACCAGACAGCCATCACTCATATGCTACAAGGTCTCTTGTTAGAGCAGAGGGAGAGTTAAAATTCTGAGCAAGGAGAAGATACATTTCTAAGTGGCGCTACAGACACACTCCTACTTGCCTCTTGTGCCTTAGCAGCATTTTCCAGGATTTTCTTTTTCCATTCTTCATAGTCTTGCTTTGTTTCAGTCTTCGGCTGTTTACATGGCATCTCCTCATCATCTTCAGATCCTATGAGAAGGAGACAGTCAATGACAGGCTACTACAGACAATATGTATGTTGCTAGGAATAACCATGGCAGTGAGCAAATGTACAGACACACACAAGCACAGGGTCTGTCACTGTGTTGTGGATGGTTTGCTGCTCCTCAGCTGCCAGAACTTCTTCACCTCTTCACCTTTGTGTTTGAATGGAATAGTTGTCCTGAATTCTACTAGGACTACTCAGCATAAACACCACTGTCCTTCTGCTGCTTCTCTTTGTCCTTTCATGAGCTAGTGGTCTGCAGAATGCAGTAAGCTGTCGTGAACTGAGTATTATGGCATATTGCACAACTAAAATACTAAGCAGCAATATAGCTCAGAACTGCACTGGTGAGGTGAGTTTTAGTTCATAGCTGAACACAACTTACCATCTTCTTTCTCGCAGTGCTTCCGATTGGTCTGAAAGCTTTCAGGTTTCTCTGCAACCACTGGAACGTCTTCTTCTAAAAAAAAAATAACAAAGCTGCTTGGTGTTTGGGGCCCCAAGGATGGTGCTCTAGATGGAATTCTTTAACAGCAGGGCCACCCTCCAAAAGTACTGTCTCCCATTCAGAGCATTCCCTGGTCCAGATGGATGCTCAAGCTGTACATGCAGAGATGCCAACACACTTCAAGGGTTGCACAGACTGATTGGCTGCTTTAACTAGTATTTCTACTGCATTTGTAATCACAGTGATCCATCATGTTCATATCCCAAACCCACACTGCTACCCTTCATTGCTCAGGCAGGATTATTAGTTATTTCTTCTCCTTCTATCCCATTTCCACACTTTGTTTTTCAGATGCCCACAACATGCAGAAGCTGTCCATACATACAGATGCACATTCTTCCCTGAACTGGCACACAAATTCCCAGCTGTCATTAGCTGCTTCAGTGGTAGATTGGGGTTTCTATAGGGCACTGCACTATGGAAATGTCCATGCCTAGGGAGAGAGCAGCAGCTTTTTGTTTGGGTACAGGCAGCATTCTAGAAGACTTCATGATATGAAGCATGAAGACAGGGTGAAGAAGACGTACTGTCTGTGGGAGAGTAAGAATAAAAGCCTGGGAAAGGAAAAAGGAAGCAAGTAGGAAGGAGCAGGTTCAAGGACGGGAAGATGTGTATCGTATTTCAATCTTCCTCCTCCACAAAAAGGAGTGGAAAGAGCTGCAGGTTCAAATGGTGAGAAGTGACGGTGACAGGTAATGGATGAATTAGTACCAGGAAAGCAAGGCTTAGGCTTGTTCATCCTGTAGCAGGGGAAGGAAAATGCAGAAGTGAGTCAAAGCAAGAGAGGCAGCAAGATGCTTATGTTAACATGTCACACAAATTAACAGGATGCGGAAAGCAAGCAAGAAGGAGGAATCTAAGAAGTTCAGGTAGTATGGGAGAAGCAGAGAAATAAACTGCAACAGAAGAGGACACGAGGAGCACTGAGATTTTGATAAGAGAGGAAAATACTTATTTCTGGCCTTGTCACGTGCTAAGCTGTTGCGACATCCCCAGAAACAATAACTGTAACTGGGACTGTGGGAAATTTTGGAATGGCTGGCAGGGGACAGGTGGGTGATCAGAATGAAACCACCAGTGGAAATTAGAGAAAGGGCTGTATTACAGGGATAAAGCTGAAAACTTACTGCTGAGCTGCTGGTTCATCTTCTCCAGCTGATTGCAGAGTCGGTCAAATATTGCTTTTTTCACCCCAGATATAGCCAACATTTTAGTTTTGTCCACTTTTAGCTTCAAATACCTACAAGAGAAAGTTATCTTTGTAACTCCAGCAACTGTTACTCAGGTGAGGAGACATTTACGATACCAACACTGCCTGTGAGAATTATGAAGATGGGCCTGATTTTTTTTTTTTTGTCCTATCTAATCCTTGTCTGTCCCAAATTTGCTTAAAACAAAAAAGACCCTTCCACCATGCAATCAGTACACCTCAGGAACTAAGAGTCAGGGTTAGTTGAGGTTACATAAGGAAATTCTATTAAGAAAAGCAACTCTTCAGATTTTGAAGGAACCTGAATAAAATCCTACTACTGCAAAAAGCTGACTGGAACCCCTATGTCACACAAACATTTGTCAGGAATTGCTTCACAAGACTTTTACAAGGTGTAATACTGAAGAGGGAAGACATCTGCATGCAAGAAAACTCTTAAAAAGGGTTGGCTGAGTTAGGTTCTCCTGACACGTCTTCCAAGCCAATACAGGCCTACTACACCTATTGCATCCATTGCTCAAAGGTTAGAGCACCCTCAGGGTGTGACACTGTGGGGTTTAGGGCTTTTTCTTCCTCAGCGTGGCTACTTCTTGGTGCTCAGCAGTAAGCTAGCTGCTATCCTTGCACCAAAAGCAGCATTTCACCAAAAGCTGTGCAACATTTTGCTTTGTGCCCAGCTCAAAATCTATCCTGGCAATGTAAAAAAAAAAAAATAAAAAAAAAAAAAATCCCACTTTTCCCAGGTTCAGCTGTAATAGGTATTTTTCTCCTTCTTATCTGGTGCAGTGTTGTGTTTGGGATTTAGTCTGAGAACAATGTTGGTAACACACCAATTATTTAGTTGTTGCTCAGCAGTGCTTACTGTGATCCAGGACATTTCAGTCTCTCATACTCTGCCAGTGAGGAGAGGCACGGGAAGCTGAGAGAAAGCAGAGATAGGACACCTGACCCAAAATAGCCAAAGCGGTATTCCATTCCTCAGCACGTCATGCCCAGTAGAGAAACTGGGAGGAGTCACCCAGAAGGCCCAGATCACTGCTTGGGCTGGCAAGTGGTGAGCAATTGCACTGTGCATCAATTGCACTTAAGTTTTCTTTTCATTTTCCTTTTCCCCTTTTAGTTTCATATTCTCTCCCCTTGTTGTTTTCCTTATCATTATTATTAGTGGTAGTAGTAGTAGTTTGTATTATACTTGAGTTTTTGGACTGTTCTTATCTCAACCCGTGGGTTTTACATTCTTACCATTCTCCTCCCCATCCTGCCAGGAGCTGGAGGGAAGAAGAGCGGCAGTGAGTGAGCAGCTGCATGGTGCTGAGTTACTGGCTGGGCTTAAACCACAAGACCACTAAATCTGAAAAATGTTACTAAGTGATTATGTTATGCTGGTTAGACTGAGAGGAAGGAGAGTGAAATGCTAAACACTAACAAAAGTTTTTTCAGCCACTGTCATGGATACAAGCTAATGGAATTATCACAGCATCAATTACTTCTGCTCTCTCCTGAAGGCAAATACAGTGTAGGGTGGAAACTTCACTGTAAAGAAATGCCTGGTTTGATACAGCTGTCTCCATTTCCAGGAGAGTGGGCTAAGCAAGACCCTTCAGACAGACTGAAGGAATCAGCTGCTTACATTGTAAGTGCTATTTCTGTTTGGTATCTCAGTAAGCATTTAAGCCCATAAAGATCCCTCAAGCGCTACTGACCTGCATGCAGTGAATAGTGCAGCCGTTACAAAGAGTGGTTTTGAGAAATCAAGGTCCATTTTCTGTGCTTCAGGGAGGCTGGATTCATACCTAAAGAACAACAATATGAGTGATAATTGTATAATGCACTTGCCTCAGATGAAGCTGTTGACCAGAGCGCTTCAGTGACTGCTTTTGTTAAAGTATGTATTGATGTGTAAGAACCTATTGTTTTTACAGTTACAGTAATGTGCATTTTGAGACATTTGCTTCTCCAGAGGGGAAGATTTATTTCTACTGAGCATTGCTTCTCAACTGTGATGTGACCAGAAGTTAAATGGAAGACAGTGTGATGGTATGGAAAAATACAGGGTCTAAGAGTCCTGTATTTTTTAAACTATTCCAAATTGAAGAATTGCGATTCACTCAGACAATACTAAGATTCACAGATTCACAGTCTAACATGCATTCTAAAAAGCAGCCTAGATAAATGGCTGGACTGTCAGCACTACAAACTCACCTCACCACTCATCAGTGGGAGATACCTGGCCCTTCCAGCTATCAAGATCTTTACACACCTAACAAACAAAGAATTTTACTAGTGGTTACCAATGTGCTCACGAGAGCTTACTCACCTCTGGAGTATTTCTGAAGCAGTGTTCACTGCCTCTGTGCAACAAAACTGCACAGCCAAGTCTCGCATTCTCAGTCTGGGGTTCACCTCTAGCAAACACTCCAAAGACTTCATGGAGCTCTGGTAGGTAGTCTTGTTCAAGCCAGAGAGTTTAACGAAACAGCTCTTTCAAGAAAACAAACCACAAGAATTAGCAAAATTCCTGCCAACATTTTATTCAGGCAACCAAAATAGATTTGGGAGAAACTACACAGTGCCATAAAGTTCAACTGCTACACTAAACAAATTTGTGCAATGATGTAAATTTGACTGGACACAGGAAGATTAACAACCTAGGAACGCGACATCTCTTAATTCAGTGGTATTTTTAGACTGTTTCCCTGGAAGTAAGGCTTATCTTTTCCATATATTATATCATGGCCCTTTAACAATCCTTTTATTTGGTTAAAAACAAAGGTAACGAAGATCTGCTACTCCTCATTGGTCAGCTTCAATTAAATTCTCTGTCTGTGACTGGACAGTCACAAACAACTTGTACCAGACCATTACCATCTACCTGCAGGTCTGCAGATAGTGGTTTACAGGTACCTCTAGTACCTGTGAATACTGGAGAGAGGGATTCCTTACAGCCACTGCTCCCCTTCCACAGTAAATGGGACAGATCTTAAATTTAACACCCTTGCTATGGATCTATTAATCTAAAACCTCTGAAATTATAGGAAGCAAGCTCAGCTTGCAAAGTGACGGGGCTCAATTTGCCCTGTTTCAAAATCTGAGTAGTGAAAGCTCCAGTACTGTCTAACAGCACACTACTGGGTCTAGGGTAACGTCAGTTATCATTACTACCCATTTCCTGCTCCCAACACACACTAAACAGAACAGTGATTTCAGTGCACTTATAGAGAACACACCAGCCAGCCAAGTCACACATTTCAGCTTACTTTGTCAACTGGCTGTTTCATGAAGCTAGCTGCTAGGTCCAGGCACATCACAGCACCACTTGTAGCTGTCATCTGAGCCATCAATCCCGTGCATTTCACCTGGGATAGCCGCAGGTACTCTTCTGCTTTTCTGCAAAACACCCCGCGTACAAACCCGTCAGCCAAGCCACCTACAAGCCCGTGAGAGCGACAGGACAGGGGCTGATCCCGGGTTTGCCCAGCCCAGAACCGCGGCTGCAGAGCGTGTTCAAGGGAAAGGGCTGCTGCAGGGCTCGGCGATCCACGCTCACGCCGCCCTTCCCTCATCACTGGCAGCCCGGGGCCCGCGGCAGAGACTCTATTGACCGCCGCACCCTCAAGCCTGTGGCTTCTCTCACAGCGATCGGAGCTCGAAGGCGCCCGAGGTGGCTGCGGCTGCGCAGGGCCGGGACCGCCCGGGAAGGAGCCCAGAGGCGCAGCGCTGCCAGGCCCCGGCAAGCCCCGCTCCTGTCATCCACCCGCGGTACCTGATGACGCCGGGCTGCGTGAGGCCCAGCCGCGCGCCCAGCCGCCGCACCTCTCCCCGCTCCATACGGCCGCCACCACTCCCACTCGCCCGCTGCAGCGCGCAAAACCCTGACGTACAGCAAAGCCCGGCAGGGGACTGGCCGGCCTTGCCGCCAATCATTGGCCGCTACGCCAATCGCCCTGGAGCGCTCCGCTTCCTCGGAGCGAACCAATGGGAAGGGCGGGGTGGGGCGGCGCAGTCACATGACGCTGCGAGGCTCTGCGGGTGCTGCTGGTGGGGGTGGTCTGTGGCGGCGCCGCGATCATGGTGAGGGGCGGCGGGGCCGGTGGGGGCGCTGGGTGCGGTCCGGGTGCTACCGTGTGCTACCGTGTGTACGAGTGGGAGGGGTCCAGTCCGCGCCCGCCGGTGGCTGAGGGGCAGGCCCGTCCGCCCGGGGCCGGGCTGCACCCGGGGGCTCCTGCTAGGGAGCGCCGCCAGCGGCCGCGCCCGGTGGCCGTGAGGGCGCTCCTGGCCGGGTACGGGGGCTGGAGTTGGGCCCGGAGGCCGCCGGGCGGGCCGGGCAAGGCTGAGTTGATGGTTGGGCCTGCGATGCCCACGGTAGCAGTTCGCGCCGTGGGGACGGCTGCACGCGGCCCAGCGCCGCGGGTCAGAGCGGTCACCGCCGCGCGGCGCTACACCGAGTTCTCTTGTGGGGCCGCAGGGGAGGTCGGTGTGTTGGCTGGGAAACCCCTGCTGCACCTATGGCCCGAGTTGTGTGGTGTAGCGTGCTGCTCCTGCCGGCCCCAGGCTGCGTCCTCGCTAGCGCTGGCAGAATTGTTCCTCTTGCCCACGTCGCAGCCTCCCCCCGGAGCGTTTCCTCTGCCGACTCTCCAAGGCTATTGTTTCAGACTGTCCTAGCGAACATCTTTTCCTGCAGAGAAGGTGGCTTTGTGTTGCTGAGCCCATCTCCATAGAGCTTCTGGAGCACATGATGGTGTTTATTAGAGAGGCAAACCTGAAATTTCAGCGTGGAAATAGCTTTTATTGAGAAATGCTTTTCAGCTTCCAGTAAAAATAAGGGGACAACCAAGTTTCCTGGTAAAACTGAAAGTCTGCCTGTTTAGTGTGTCTTCTGCAGCATTTAATAATCAATTCAACTTTACGCAGCACTTGCTGTAGCCATTATAGCATGTTAATTGACCTAAGTGCGGAGTATAAACAGTAGCAATAGTATGTAGACAGGGGGCAGAAACTTAGTGCAAGCTTTATAAAGCAGGAATTGCACAGTTCTTAGGCTTTTGGAACAGACTTTCCTCTTCAAGGTATGTATATGTTGTTATTAGTTTAATACTACACCCTCTAGAGGTAGAGGGGGCAAAACCTGAACGTTACTTGAGAGATGAATGGAAAAAAGTAAACTAGGTGATGTGAAATGCTAAATCTAAGTAGTATCTTTAACAAGACTGATTTTAAGAAGGCGCTGGCTGTTCTTGACCAACCCCTGATTACAGTCCAGCCCCTTAATTCTTGTTAATGTCTTATGGCTTCGTGTGGCAGTAAGTAGCAGTTTAAATATGTGAAAAAATGTTTTCTTCTCTCTGGTTCATCTTTGAGCTCCAGTATATATAAAGTTACGGAGTTGCCTTCAGTATTGCAGAGTAATGCTTCCTATGTGATAGAAAATGCTTATGTATTTTTTGTGACTTCCAGGCAGCTCAGCAATTTTTACAGAATTGCTTTGTGTGCACCGAGGTTTTACCTGTAGGCTGACAGCTGTCCTGATCTGCTTCTGCAGCTAACCCATCTTCTGTCTTGGGTAGTGTTCATTTTAAATATCTCAAGGGTGACTGGTTGGTAGTAGTCCTAATATATCCAGCTAGGAGGAGGCAGAAAAACCTTGGATAAATCTCATTCATTGTGGAATCATAGAATCATAGAACAGTTAGGGTTGGAAAGGACCTTAAGATCATCTAGTTTCAATCCTTCTGCCATGAGCAGGAGCACCTCTCACTAAACTATGTCATCCAAGACTCCATCCAACCTGGCCTTGAACACTGCCAGGGATGGAGCGTTCACAGCTTCCTTGGGTAACCCATTCCAGTGCCTCACCACCCTTACAGTAAAGAACTTCTTCCTTATATCTAACCTGAACTTCCCCTGTTTAAGTTTGAACCCATCACCTCTTGTCCTGTCATTAGTCACTGACGAAGTCGCTTTCCAGCATACTCTGCTACTCTGAGGTCTCCACGCAGCTTCTGTTCTGCAGGCTTGAACAGCCCCAACTTTCTTAGCCTTTCTTCATATGGGAGGTGCTTCAGTGCTTGATCATCCTCACGGCCTTCCTCTGGACTTGTTCCAACAGTTCCATGTCCTTTTTATGTTGAGGACACCAGAACTGTACACTACTCCAAGTGAGGTCTCATGAGAGCAGAGCAGAGTACAGGGGCAGGATCACCTTCTCCGACCTGGTTGAAGCTGGTCATGCTCCTTTTGATGCACCGTTGGTTTCTGGGCTGCGAGCACACTGAAGCCGGCTCATATTAAGTTTCTCATCAGCCACCACCATTAAGTCCTTCTCCCCAGGGCTGCTCTGAATCTCTTTGCCTAACCTGTAGCTGCGCATGGGATTACCCTGACCCAGGTGTAGTATCTTGCAGGTACTAATCAAAAGCATGTGAGTAAACAGAAGGAAAAATCATGTGTGGAACAGGATGTGAGCGCATGAGTTATCTAAAGAAAAGTATTTAATCAGTTGGAGATTAGATGAAAGTGCGTTTTAGAATGGAACAGAAGCAAAACCTTCCACTTGTCTTATTGGTACTCTGTATCCAACTTAACATACCAGTATAGCCAGAATTCAGGCTGTTTGGTAGGTTCCATAAGCTTGCCATGAATCCTGCTGTATTTCAATACTATGTAATTCTTTCTCTTGAGTACTGAAAGTTACCAGATTTGTAAGTGAAATGAACATTGTAACTAGTCACACACAGACTCAAAATAATAACCATATACAGAGTGCAGCTATATCAAGTGTGAAACTAAGTGTGGAGTTTATGAAGTGTTCCCAAGGAGCTATTAGAAAATAAGAAAATTCTACACAATAGGTGTAAAATTTACTTTGTGTGTTCAAGAATGTTGTGTATGTTAAAGCTATTATGAAGAAAGGTGTGGTCCAGAATTATGTTTGCTGCTGTGATAATACACTTTTCTAATTGTTACCTGCAAAATAGCTTGTATTGGCCACTCTGATCAGCCATGCAGTAGACTCCTCCCATGCTAGTTTGGGTTTAAAAAAAACTAAATCTTGTTTTCAAAGTCCAAGGCAACTTGCAGATCACCAGCCTTTATTAAAAAAACCCAAATGAAACCAAAAAACCAACGAACAAGCAAGCAAACAAACAAACAAAAAAAAAAAACAAACCCCAAAATTAAAACCAAACCAAACTTCAAACCTAAACAACAAAGAAACAAACCTGAAAGGAACAAAAACCCTCACACAGCACACACCAAAAACCAGCTCCTCTCAACAGCTGCTGATAGTGCAGCTAATGAGGTAGTTTTCTGTCCTTGTCACTTGTCATGGTTTAAACCTTTTCTCAGAGGAAAAAAGGTTAGGGAGCAAGTAAAGCAGAAAATTGTGTTCACATCAACTCTCCTTTTTTCTTCAACATTAGCAGTATATCTAATAGGGGTAAGGCTCAGGCATTTCTAAAAGCCTGTAATTTGCTTATCTTGTGTTCATGCAGGAGTTTATGCCTTATTGTATATGTTGTTGACAAGCCAGAACATTCTGTGCTGTAATTACAGAGTACTGCTGCTTTTCTCCAGTGTCAAAATCTGCTTCAAAAGCTTGTGTTCCAGATTCTTGTTTGGAGGTTGGCATAGGACTCCACAGCACAGTTGCATTTTTTTTTGATAAAATAGCACTTGAAAATGCCGTGTTTAGTTATTAGGTTCCTAATTTAAAGTGGAAGATAACGTAAAGAGCTTTATTCAACATTGTACCTGACAGAAGAACTAGATTCCAGTTTGGTGTGTGCCCTGTTAACTGTGGTTGGTAGGCTTTTAATGTGTGTTCTCTGTCCTTCAGCTGTTTTTTGCCACAACTTCCTCAAACTTCAGGTGCATGTTATCAGGGTATGTGTATCTTGATACGATCTTGTGTGGAAACCCCTGTCATTCTGAATCTGAAAGTAGCTTGCTTTCTGACGTAGAAAGAAAGGGGTAAGCTGATAAACACTCAAACTTTGAAACATAAGAGAACTTGTTTGGTGTTGCTGCTGTTGTTTTCTCTTCATATATAAGTGAAGCTGTTACAAACACCACTTTAGACTGCTTCTTTCATATGCTGGTGGCAGTGGTAGGTTATCTCACTACCTGTGCGGCTGTACAATGTCAATACCACCTTCTTTAGACATGAAGTACAGTCCTGTAGTGCAGACATCTTGTTTAGACCAGTCACCTTCTCAGTCGTTACACTGAAACAGGTACAAGTGTGATTTTAGTCTTAATCTTGAAGAGATACAGAAAAAAAAAAATTATTGCTTGTGGTATTTAGGAAATGCTTGTCAATGAATTCAGTCATGTACTTTGTACTGTCCCAGTGTTGAATACAGCGTGGGACCTTGCTGCTCAGATTTGGAGCAGAAATGGAAATACTGTCAATGTCTTCTGTTGATGCAGGCAGAATTTGATACAAAGCTGGCTGGTTCAGTATAAATGTGAAAGCTGGGTCTGAAAGCAAGACTCTGAAACTCCGTTAGTTCCCTAGCTATTGGTAAAAGGCAGTGGTTAAAGTTGCATAAGAAAATGTATACCTTCAGTTAGATATTTTTGGTGGGATTACTGGTAACATGGGTAAACCCTTCAGGCCTGCGCAGTGGATTTTTTAGGTAAGGCTAAGCGTGTGCAGAACTGGCCCCACTCTTTACACCTGAGGTTTATCTGCCAGGGCCTAGCGAGCTTGGACAGTGACAGCAAAGTCCTCAGGTCGTAGGTTTGATTAGAGTGTCCTTCTCTTAGATGGATGGCCTTACAGGGCTATACGAGCTCTATCTGCCTGGGTTTGAAGTTAGAGTTGTCCTTCTCCTAGGATGGTTGCCCGAAGGCTAGTGAA